ACGAGTGGGCAATACCGTAGGAACGACGCGTATTGCGAGCATACTTTACGTACCTCCTCCTCTAAGTTCAATGGGTAGGATAAAAGTCTACGTTATTAGAACCCTTGGTGTCCTATCCGTAGACTGACGGATTGATTGAGTTTGCCATACCGATCGATCGACGCCCAGGCAGCGCACACGCACGAGCCGCGCGCCATGTCCACGCACAGAGGACGCAGCAGCGGCGCACGCACACATCACACAGGACAGGGCCAGATAGCCAGACAGATAATAGATGGATGGATGGGATAGGATGATGATGGATGGATGCGATGGATGGATGGATATGGACCGCGACGGACGGAGCACGGGGGGCGGAGCAGACGGACGGACGGTCACGCGACAGGACAGACAGACAGACAGACAAATAGATAGTATAGATATAGATAGATAGATAGATAGATAATTAGATAGATAGATAGATAGTATAGATATAGATAGATAGGATAGATAGATAACTAGATAGATAGATAGATAGATAGATAGATAGATAGATAGATAGATAGATAGATAGATAGATAGATAGATAGATAGATAGATAGATAGATATTATAGAATCAGTATAATAATAATTATGGTGATTGTACTTAAACGGTTAAATATTATACGCGGAACAGTAACCACGTACAGCACAGCAGGTCTGTTCGGATATAGGTGTTTACTCCTACTGTTCCTATATATCGTCGCCACGTAAACCTTAAAAACGTTAATTATTATGCCAGAGGGCAGTCTGTATATGCTGGTAGTAGTGTTAGAATGTTTACGACTAGTTTTATGGCAGAATGATATATATATATATATATATCTAGCATTTCAAGATATCTCGCCACAAGGCATGGTCAGGGTTGAGACATCTTCTTGAAAATTATTGTCATGCCATCGGATAGGATCTTGTGCGCGAGTCGTAGACCTCCAAAGCAAACTATCTAACAACCAAAATAATCTCCGAAAAATTGGCCCATATACATATGCGACTTTTGTTTTCGTTCTCACCGCAGATGTCGACAAGGATGGAAAGCTGTCCAAGCAAGACGTGGAAAAGTTTAGCGAGGTGAGTCAGCGTGCGGTCGCGGTTGCTCGCGAGATCAATAAGGCGAAGTTATAGTGCGAAATGTACCTGTCAACGACCTATGTAATTAGCTATACCTGTCTGACATTCTGTCCGTACACCTGCCTGTCTGTTCTGACTTTTGTATGCTTCTTGTGAATATGATCGGGTGAACTGAGGGTAAACTGTCGATAGTACCTCGGTGATCGACTTTGCACCTGAGGTTAAACAAATCACGACGCTATTTAAATGCACTTCAACATCGGTCAAGGCCATTGCGAAGGTTAAAATATAGTTTAACCCAGTTTCCTATCATATTGGCGACCGGGTCTCAAGGAAATCTAATATGTGCAAGCTAACTGATTCTTTGTTTTGAGGAATCCGTGTGGGGAGTAGGGACTATAGTTGATTCCTCATCGTAAAATAGTTAAGGTTTACTTTGATGCTTTGAAAATGGTCTCGTAAGGCTAGGGTTTAGTAATCGATTAGTGGGTCTATACACGACATTCACGAACATTTCCTTCCAATGCCAACCAGTGGTGACATCGAGGTCTGCCCCCACTAACACACACACGCACGCACGCACGGGCGCACGCACGGGCGCACGCACGCACGCATGCACGACGCACCAACGCACACACACGCACGCACGCACGGGCGCACGCACGGGCGCACGCACGCACGCATGCACGACGCACCAACGCACACACACGCACGCACGCACGCACACATGCACGGGCGCACGCACGCACGCATGCACGACGCACCAACGCACACACACGCACGCACGCACGCACACATGCACGGACATACGCACACACGTACACACTCACACACACACACACACACACACACACACACCCACCCACACACACACACAC